GAGGGCAGGAATCACAGCCCGTCGCCAGAGGAACGAGCTCGAGCGCCGACGTCCAGCAGCTCACTCTTTCACGATATCCGGGGGGTCGCGTCTACCCGTTTCACCGCACCTTTCAGATCTCGTGGCTGCACACGACGTGTTACCTCCCCGAGGTTTCGGCCGGGCACCCCCGCGCCCCCCGCCCTGCCCCTCCCGGCGGGCACCTTACCCAGGGGCACCACAAGGAACCTCATGTGGTTCAGCCAGTCCGACGTCTTGTTGGCCAGCTGGGTGACGAAGAACCTCAGGATGGAGCCCAGGTAGCTCTGCCCACCCACTGCTGCCACCTTGACTGGGCGTGGCATGGAGGAGTTACAGTTACAGCTGGGGAGAGAGGGGGGGGAGGAGAGAGAGAGGGGGGGGGTTGGTTTATCTCCTCCTGTGCCCAGGGCTGAAGCAGGAGAAGATCCTGTGTCTGTGAGTGCGAGTGTGCGCCTGCGTTTGTGCAGCTCCTGAGCTCGGGTGTGGGTCCCGTGTCCGACAGACGGGGTGAACTCACAACTTCTGTATCCGGGTCAGCACTGCAGACAGCACGGCCTGGATCTCGGCACCAGAACACGTGCACACCACCGGCAGCTTCTGGGCGTGGAGCAGGTCCGCCACGAACTGCAGGGAGAGGAGAGGGGAGCCTTCACTCGCGCTGACCCCCTGACCTTCTGACCCCTGACCCTCGCCGACCCCCCGACCTTCCGACCCTTGCTGACCCCCCGACCCGCGCTGGTACTGACCTGGCCCTGCCAGTCCGTGATGTTGACCAGGATGAGGTTCTCGGGCAGCGCGGTGTCCGACACCAGGATCTGGTTCAGCTGATCGTACACCACCTTCCTGGGCACCTGTGGGTGACAACAGCCTTCTTCCAGCGGGCAGTACGGTCAGCCTGCACACCGGACTGCACACAGACCACAACAGGGTCTAACAGGATTGGACCAGCTGTCCTCCAGGTCTACCAGGACCGGACCTGAACCACCAGACCAGCTGCCCCCCTGGTCTGACAGGACTGGACCTGAACCATCAGACCAGCTGTCCCCCTGGTCTAACAGGACTGGACCTGAACCATCAGACCAGCTGTCCCCCTGGTCAGACAGGACTGGACCTGAACCACCAGACAACCTGTCCTCCTGGTCTGACAGGACCGGACCTGAACCGCCGGACCAGCTGTCCCCCGGGTCTAACAAAACCAGACCTAAACCGCCGGACCAGCTGTCCTCCTGGTCTGACAGGACTGGACCTGAACCACCAGACCAGCGGTCCCCCGGGTCTAACAAGACCGGACCTGTGGGGTCAGTACCTGCGTGGAGTGGCTCAGCTCAGGCGACCTCTCGCTGTCTGAGCTGTTGGTTCTCTCGCTCAGCGGCTTCGACTGCTGCCGGTCTCTAAACGGAGTGCTCCTCCTCTGCCGAGGGGTGTGGCCGCCGTCCAGCCTGCGTGGGGAGAGTGGTGGACACAGAGTGGGGGAACTGAGAGCCGGACATACCGAGACTGTCCTGTCTGTGTGCTAACCTGGGAGAGGGCGTGCTCTGTGTCTATACTG